TGCCAAAATCTTGAAACAAATTTGGGATCCCTATCTGACACAATTGACACTGGAACACCATGAAGCCTTACAATTTCATTTATATACAGTACTGCTAGCTTATCCGCATTGTATTAAGTCTTCACAGGCAAGAAATGAGCAGACTTGGTTAATCGGTCCACAATAACCCAAATCGAATTCATACCTCCAGGAGTCTTCGGTAACCCCACAACGAAATCCATGGTCAAATGCTCCCATTTCCATTCCGGGATTGGAAGGGGTTGTAATAATCCTGCTGGTCTTTGATGTTCCGCTTTGACTTGTTGACATTGTAGGCACTTAGAAACAAATTCCGCGATCTCCTTTTTCATATTTGGCCACCAAAAATTTTGTTTTAAGTCTCGGTACATTTTAGTGCTTCCCGGGTGTATTGATAATCTCGAGGCATGTGCTTCTCCTAGCAATTTCCGTTTAAGCTCCAACACATTGGGGACACATATTCTACCTTGAAACTTTAATATCGAATCTACGTAACTGAATCCCGATTTTGGTTTTGCCTCTAACTCTCCATAGATTTTCCTTAAAGTCTCATCTTCCAGTTGATGTAACTTAATCTCTTCCAGCAAGGTGGGTTGAGCTCTTACTGCTGCTAGTATGGCCTCCTGTTCACGTACCAATAGGTCCATATTCATTTTATCCAGTTCGATCCTCAACTCCTTTCTTTCTACCAACAGATTTGCCAAGTCCCCCATATTCTTCCGACTAAGTGCATCTGCCACCATGTTAGCTTTACCAGGATGATATTGAATCTGCAAGTCATAATCCTTAATCAACTCAAGCCATCGCCGTTGTCGCATGTTCAACTCTTTCTGGGTAAACAGGTACTTGAGGCTTTTATGATCAGTGTAAACTTCGCAGGTTGTACCATAAAGATAGTGCCGCCATATCTTCAAAGCAAAAACTACTACCGCTAATTCAAGATCGTGTGTGGGATAATTCTTCTCGTGGGGTTTCAGTTGTCGAGAAGCATAGGCAATAACCCTTCCATTCTGCATTAGCACACAACCAAGCCCCTTGTGCGAAGCATCACTGTAAATTACGAATCCTTCGGTACCAGATGGCAAAGCCAGAACTGGTGCTGTCGTCAATCTTGTTTTTAATTCTTGGAAAGCAGATTCCCGCTCCTCTGACCATTCGAATGCAACTCCTTTACGTGTCAGTTGGGTAAGTGGCACAGCGATTTTGGAGAAATTTTGAACAAACCTCCTGTAATATCCAGCTAACCCCATGAAACTTCGTATCTCAGTTACATTAGTGGGAGTTGGCCAATTCACAATTGCTTCAACTTTGTATGGATCAACAGAGACTCCTTTTTACCATTGGAATTTCCCGATTGCGTAATTGCTTTACTTGTCGCTCCAAAATTCGAAGTGGTCTTTCTTCATAGCTTAATTTATCATCTAGCACAAGTTGATGATAGTCTATGACATGAGATGGATCTGATAGATATATTGTATATATAATTGTATAATCAAAGTTTTAATTGTAACTTTAGTCTCACATGCAAGTATGAATTTATAAATTTTTTTGGCTCATTAAGGCTTGTGAACAGGCTCGAGTTCGAGTTGAGCCTAAGCCAACTCAGCTCGAGCTCGGTTCGTTAAATTTTTGTTCAACTCAAGCTTGAGTTCGTGCTCGAGCTCGACCTCGTTAAAATATTAATAAACAAGCCCAAACATACTAAAGCTCGGCTCGGCTCAACTCGTTTGCAGCCCTACCTACCAGTAGTAACATCACAATCAATGTAACACAGGGTTTGTAACAGTTCTAAAGTATTCAACGCTGCTTAAAAATTTCTTTATGCAATAGTTCAAAATGTAAAAATATTTAGAAATCTTAATTATTATAAAAATATTAGTATATTTTTATCTTATAAAATTTTAATATCAAGAATCTTAAATTAAAAATCTTAATTTTCTTATAAATATTTTACCTTTTAAGTACGTTTAAGTTAAATATATTTAACAATTAAATAATAAAAATTTAAAAAAAGAAAAAAGAAAAAAAGCCAAAATAACAAAAAAAATCAATTTTCAAAAAATTAAAACCAAATAAAGTGATTAAATATCTGTATATTTTTTTATATTTAATGAATTTTTTAAAAACATTTAATAAATTTTTTACATATATCTAGATTAAGAAAATTTTAAAAATAAAAAAATTTGATTCAACGATGGCATTTTGCCTATTGTTTCAAATCTTAGCCATCTTAGGCCTTTACTAATCTCTAAGGTTTTGTTTGTTGACTAAACGTTTTAGTCAAAAAATAAAAAAGTTCTTATAAGTTATCATATTATTCTCTTTATTTTTTTTGCACATCTTCTTGTAAAAAGTTAAAAAATTAATTTCCAAACACAACTTAAATTTCCAATCAGGCTAGAAATGGAGAGAGAATCCAAAGGTCTTAAGCCTTGTTTTGGCAATTCGGCTAAAAGTCATTTTTTTGACTTCTTGATTTATTTTTTTTTTAAATCACATCATTTTTTTTATTTTTTTATATATTTTTATAAAAAATAAAAAATATAAAAAATTAACTTTTAACCTAATTCCTAAAACAAACCTAAGATTTAAAAGTTGAATATAGCTTGAAAGTTGAAACCATTTTAAAAACACTTCAAGCGCATTTCGTCTTTTCTTCACCTCTCAAAATTTCAATCCGAAGCATTTCATATCCATTTATCATCACAGTTTGTCTCTCTTACATTGAAATCATTTCAAACCCTCAGGCCTTGTTTGTCAACTATACATTTTAGCCAAAAAGTAAAAAGTTATTATAAATTGTCACATTACTCTCTACTTTTCTACACATATTTTTGTAAAAAGTCAAAAAGTTACTAAAATAGCATATTTCCAAATGAGGCCTGTCTCTAAAAAGTTTCCGAGAGATTCTCTTTCAGGTAGTGTTTCAACGATTACAAATTATTTTATGTTTTTAAAGTGGAGTATAAATCTGCAATTGTAGAATGTGAATTTAGACTTTTTATATCTGAAATAAAAGTTTGGGAATATTCTCTTTCATTTTCGGCATAAATTTTTAGATTTTCTACTCTCACATTGATTCATGCCTCTTTTAAGTCTTCTCCCATACTATTGTGGGTGTATCTCCTTCTCAACTTTACCTTCTGATGGTATTCGAAGTACAACAACGGCAATGGCAGAGATAGGCAGTGGTGACAAAGACGACTTTGACGAGGACAACTGGTTTTCAAACAAATTTTGTTACAAATTTTACTTTTTCGACCATATCTTTGAAAAAGATTGATGTTTTTTCTTAAATCATAACTAGTCTTTTTAGTAAATTTATTATTATTTTTTTTGTTATTTATTTTCCTTTTATTGTATGATTTGTTTGGTCTTTGAATCTTGTTCGGTTGTTGATTTTAAAGTATAAATGTTTTACATGTTTAAATAAAAATGAAAATGAAAAACCTCAGTCTCTTGCTCTCTCTTGTCTCTTGCGCTCTCAACTGCATCTTTTATGTAAGACTATTGTCTAGCCAAAATTGTGTCAACATTTGATAAAGTGAAGTTTGGAGTAAAGATGAAAGAGACAATTCAAACTCTCAGTCTCTTCCTCTCTGCCCAAAATTTTAGTCAACATTTCAAACCCAAATCTCTTTGTTTCTCTCTCACACTGCCCCTTCACCTGGTCCCTACAGCCAGTGTAGCATCAGAAAATGTTCAATTGCATCTTCTATGTAAGACTATTTTCTAGCTGAAATTGTGCCAACATTTGGAGAAGTGAAGTTTGGAGTGAAGATGAAAGAGACTTCAAACCCTCAATCTCTTCCTCCCTCTTCTTCTCCGCCCAAAATTTTAATCAACATTTCAAACCCATTTCATCATCTCTGTAACTCTCTCTTACTCCCTCTTTGCCTGGTTCCTACAATCAATGTAACATCAAAAAAATTTCAAATGTATCTTTTGTGTATGACTCTTGTTTAGGCAAAATTGTGCCAACAATTGAAGAAGTGAAGTTTGGAGTGAAGATGAAATAGGGTAGTCTTCACTTTATATGTGTATATATATGCTGCCCTCCATGTTGTTCTTCTCAAACTTGCAATTGTTGCTTCTCTTTCAATGGCAAATTTAGGGTTCCAAAGAAGGGTTTGTTCTTATATTTTTGTTTTTGTTTTTTTGATATTTTTTTAAATTCTATTGAACTAATAGTAATATTTATGTTTTCTTTTAGTATGGTCGAATTTTATACATGAGAAATAGGAAGCGAGGATACACTGTGTTCAACATCATGCATACTCTCCGTCTTGCTCAACTTCCTGTCAACGTTTTCAAGAGGACATCATTTGCTTGACAATTTGATTATCAGCAAAGGTTAAGGAGCTATGATGATCCTTCAATCCTGAAACCCTATTTCCTGGATATATGGAGTAATGTAACGTTGTCTGTGATTGAGAGAATATCCGATCTGTTTTCTATATACGCATATGGAAGTATAGTTACGATATGTTGAAGATTATTTCAATGGGATTTAATTTATGTGTTGTTTCTAGGTTTGTCTTTTGCATCTCTTTTATGTTCTATGTTTTCAAATATTATTATTATCAATTTAATGATTTTTTTTTTTAATTTTTTTTATCAATACTTGTATAGGAAAATTGGTAATACCTTGGCAACTTCATTAAAAAATGAGTACCATGGAAATCTCCTATCACTGTGTTTGGTTGGGAATTTGGAAAAGAATTTAGAAAAGGAAGGAAAAGTGTGTGTGAAACGGTGAAAGATAAAGTGAGTTAGAATCGCTGACGAGAAGCAAATAAAGTTATATTTCATGACCCAAAACAAATACGATATGTATATTAGTTTAATTTTTTTTATCCATTTACTATTACTTGTTTAGTTTCCTATCGTTTATGGTTATATATTTTCATATTTTCGCTTACGAGCTGATTTGGATTGGAGCTTAAAGAATGATATCGGAGTTTTGAAAAGAATAGTGGAACATGTGTTGGAAAGACAAACTCAATTTGAGTTTGGTTAAGGAGAATTCTAGGGAAGAGGAGAACAAGCAAGAGGCTGCCGGAAAGTTCCCAACAGAAGAAGAGAAAGCCAAAATGAAGAAAAAGGAAGGAAGCTTCAAGGAAGCTCCATTGATGAAACTTAGCTTAGAAGAAATACTGTAGCACAATGATTATACACAGTTTGTACACAATTGTCAAGTCTATAATAAAAAACTATGAGATTGTTTTAGAGAGAGTGGGAAAAAAATGTAATTTCCAGGGAGAAACATAGCATCTCCAAATAAGAAGAATTCTAAGATAGTTGAGAGAATTTGAGAGTTTACAGAGAGATAGCTATGTTTTATATAATTTGTTTGTGATTGAATAAAATGAGTATTTGTCCAATTAATCTCTCTTTGTATACCATCACTGTGACACCCCCACGTTTGGCCATCATATATTAATATAAATAATTCAACATGGTTAAGTATTAAGTTTTAATATAATAGTTAAATAAGTATGTTCCAAAGCTTAATCTTAATACAACCCCAAATGTTTGATTTATTACACCAATCTCCGGACATTGTTACGTTAATACATAAAATTTCATCAAAATTGATAAGAAGGTAGGCAAGATAGGCCATAATAGCCAGGCTAAGATGGTTCTAAGTGAAACATGGCTGAACATCGGTATCTTCAACAAAATCTTCCCCGAGATTTTCTCTTTCTTCTTCACCTGGCATTAAATGCCGCGAGTTGCAAAGCCCAATAGGATACAAGAAACCAAAAAAAAAAAATAATAATCACTTCTTACAGTCTACAGTTTGAAAACTTATGCAATAATAACACAGTGGAGTTAATTAACAACATTTAAAAATATACAATCATCACGAAAAAGATAATAGCGCAGCGAAAACAACACACACACACACACATATATATATATACATGATCCATCATGAATATATTCACAATGCAAATGTTAGGTTTTCATAGAGTTCATAATGTAATCTCATTTAATTGTAAATTCGATGAGCCTACGGTGACTCCCCGTGGAGTGCCGTCTTACCCAACCATTGACCCTGGCCAAGGACTATTTTGCACTTCCTCTTGATCACGAGGTACTAGATCTAAAGATGCTACGTACTGAGTTAAATACTCAAAGCGTATCATCAGTGGTCCGTCTCAAGAGAACCGGCCTTCCAGAGGTACTCCCTTTATGTGAGACCTTCACTGCCACCCTTATCCCAAAACCAAATCTGTGAGGTCTGAATATGATCCGGGCCATGTCATGGCTTCGCAAGCTAAACAATCACATTTTCTTAGAACCAGGTCGCACCCTGCACCAACAAAACATCAATATACCTTTTCCTTGTATTCATCCGCATGCGCATGGTCCAAAACCACCCATTTCATTTTCCCTTCATTATGGTTATAATAGCTCTTGATGAAAATACACATATCATGATTCATTCCAATTAATCAAGCATATTTAAGTGCATGCAAGACAAATTATGTAAGAACGAGGCAATACAAAAAAGATTTTAAGCCATTACTAACTTGATTCCAGATTCCGAACGGTTTCCAGCAAATTGTCCCCTCAAATAAAAATATAGAAATGATAGTAAATGATATTTAAAAATTTTAATTTTTGGTGGAGCCATAGATTATTACGTTGGGAACAGTTTTGAAGAGGGCTTGAAGTCATTTGGCCACTGGAAGATGTCCAAATAAATTAAAAACAATAGGTAGCTCCAAATTCATCGCGTTTTTTAAAAACAGATATATTTCACCCCATACTTTATGAAATGAGTTGAAACCTGTGGCATTGGAAAGATAACTTAAAAACCTCACATCGCCAATTTGAGTCACTCAAAATTTCATTATGTGGAAGAAACCGTGGCCATGTAAAGTAGGCCTTGTTGCTGTCTTAACAACGGTGGTGAACATAAAGCATATTTTTTGCTATAAAATAGGGTCAAATAATTTTTCCAGAATTCTCACATATAAATAAGACCCTAAAGTAATTCCAGTAGCTTTAATTTTTTTAAAATAATAAATAAAGGATTTATTTCATGGTTTTGAAGTGAAAACAGATTCTACACAGTGTAGTTTCTGTTTGAATGAGCAATGGGTTGTCTTCCTTAGTTCCCTACTTAGGCATGCTAGGCTAAATTATTTATGGAGAGGTATTTTTCTTGCATTCAAGAGGTACTACAGGTTATGAAAATAAAGCAAAGAGAATATAAAAATAAGAAATAAGACAAGTGAGTTTATCTAAGGCATGCAAGAGAGACCTCTCCTATTGAGTTTGTTCTTGTTTCCTTCACGTATTATAGGAGATATCAGATTGCTTTGCATACATTTTTCCAAAACTCAATGAAGTGGAGTATTTCTAAGTATCCTTAGTGAAGCTTTGAAGACCTTTCAAGTGATGAGTCCTTCTTCTCCTTCCTTCCTCTTTCTTCTTTTCTTTCTCTCGTTTTTCTCTTTTCTTTCTCTCCCTCTCTACTCTCTAGCTCTAGCCAAAATTTGTAAGTGGGGAGTTAGGGGAGCTTGTGTTTCATATATAGATTAAAATGAGAGGGAGAGTTTGGAGACAATATTTGGTAAAAGAATCCATGCATATATGGCCATTAAGGGGTTGTCTACCCAATAAGCACACTTATGACAACTTATCTCTTTACTTAGAGGTAAGAAAAAGGTTGGTTAAGCATGCTAAGAGGGCTGCACTTTTGAGATGAATCTTGATATAAGACAAAATCAACCCTTCCCCATAAAAGTTAACTTGGTCGGCCTCCCCTCTTTCTTATTTTTATTTATATATATTTTTTTTTATACACACTCATGAATAAAACAATCAAGTGAAGAAAAAATTCTAGATTGCCTGTAGAAGCTTCCTTAATCTAATTATAAGGATTAGTGTTAGGATTTAGTTTAATCAAGATCTCTAAACAATGATTAATTTAAAGTGTGCCAAACTTCTATATCTTATGCATTAAATTAGAATAACTCTTAAAAAAAGATAATTTTTATTTAATAAATTTGTTACAAAATTTCTAAGCCTTACAATCACAACCTGTATACACCCCTCTGTCACTTCCAACAGTTTATAAAGAAAATTGTCATAATTTCCTAACAATGGTATCAGAGCTTACCACTGTCAACAATGGTATCAGAGCATATATTACAAATATCTCTCTCTCTCTCTCTCTCTCTCTCTCTCTTTCTTATTTTCTAGTGTGACACGATTAAGGTGCAACTGTTGATCTGAACTAACCAAATTGTTTTGCATAGATCTGAGCCATTTAAAGTCAAATTTTGATGATCCAAAAGTCATTTCCAATCCTTTTCATATCACAATCTTACACCGCAAAATGGTGATATAAAATTATTAGATCAAAAACACGAATTTCAAATTTTGTTTTGTTTTGTTTTATTTTGCTAATTTCAAATTTTGATTTGGTCATATTTAAATTTTTTAATTTGAGATATTTTTTTTATAATTTTAGATGACCATATCATCAACATATATTCATAAAATACATTCGGTGTTTGGAAAATGACTATTTTAATAAATTTATTGACTTTTTATGATAAAACATATAGAAAAGTAAAAAAAGTGACGTGATTGAGTAACACCCCACATGGGGCCTCATAGTCCATAAACTCTTCGTTTTGTATCATTTTAGTTTTCAAAATTTTCCTTACAATATTTATTGGTAAAATTGACGAGATTAAAAACTTAAGAAAATAATACATACTTTTTATATTGTTAATGATTTTGATATTGGTTTTTCTTGGAACTTCTTGATTAGCAATGTTTTGTAGATTAATTACTGAATAAAAAACATATCTTCTTGTTGCAAGCGTTTCAACGTCACAAATAATTTACATTGTCATATTGATTGCTATTTGTTTCACTTATATTTAATGGGTCATTCTTGTCTTTCAATTATTTAATAAAAGTGAATTAACAACATTGATTCAGGCGTTAAGTTTTCAGATATGTCACACGTGATAAATACAAAGTGATATCCTCTGTTATGTTTGCATTTAATTAATACAAGTAGGTGGATTGAGGATTATTATTTATATTTAAGATTTACATGCGTTTTTTTAAAAAAAAAAAGATTTACATTTTATATATTATAATAATTATAAGTCACTATGCACCTTTTGAAAATTTTCTCTCATCTACCGTTTAATGTTTTGTTTGTTTGTGTGTTTATATTACCTATAAAAGAGGTAGGTGAATTAAGAAAAAAGAGGGCTGGTTTTTGGGGGAGAGAATTAGAGAGAAAAAAGAATTGGTGCGAGAGAGTTTGAGAGGAAAAAGAATCAGAAAAAAGGAAAATTAGTTTTTTTTTGAGAGAGAGAGAGAAAATAAAAATATTTTCTTAGATATTTTATTTTTCTAAACCAAATATTTTATTTCCATTTCATCAATACACCATTAAAAAAACTAACCACTGAAGTTGTCATTCCAAATTTTGGATCAAGAATTGAGAACACATTCCACAACTTTGAGGGTAATCAAAAGAGGGTTTGTGAATCATAAAATTCTTCATTTCCCCGAAAGGTGAATTTTCACAAACTTTCATTTAATTTAAAAATGTGATATAACTTGTTTAAATACTTTATTTACTGTTTTTCATAACTATTTTTTTATCGCTTTAATGGGAAGGCTGCACCACGCACATATCTGTTGTAAATTACTCTTTATATAATTGTTTTACCATTAATGGAAAGGCTGCACCACGCACATATCTGTTGTAAATTACTTTTTATATTATTGTTTTATTAATAATGGAAAGGTTGCACCACCTACATATCTGTTATAAATTACTTTTTATATAATTATTTTACCATTATAATGGGAAGGCTGCACCACCCATATATCTGTTGTAATTTATTATTTTTTTATATAACTATTTTATTGCTTTAATGGGAAGGCTGCACCACTCACATATCTGCTGTAATTTACTGTTGTATATAAACTGTTGTAATTTATATAAATATTGTAGTTTACTATTTATAAATTGTTGTAATTTTACCACTTCAAATGGTTAGTCAAACCACCTAATTTGTTAAAAGATATGACCCCACCGGATGAATAGTAGCCTCCAGCAGTGAATAGTACCTCCGGAGGTGAATAGTAATCCCGACGATGAATAGT